GGATAAATTATGCAACATGGATTCTACTGTTAGTCACTGACAAGCAAATGACAGACATCTAAGCGAAACTTGAGGCGACATCAAGTTATCGGCCCAAGCAATCTAGATATGCTGATACATATCAGTTGGGTCCAATATAATATTCAGAAAGAAAATATGACCATCAATAAATCTTCACATCTCTATTTTAGTGTGACTTTAAAATATATGTGATCGAGAAACAGCTGGCAAACTTAAACGGTATACCGGAAAAAAATATGTGACACCACAAAACAATTATTTTCACAAACTTCAGAGGCTTCTCTGGGATTAACTGATATAAACGATTGTATTTCTTTATGAAGTAAAGAAACTTGATTAGTTATTACATTAATTACAAGGGTGGTCTTTCAGATCATTATTCATAAATGTAATGCAAATAAATTATTCACGTGACCTTATCGATTTAGAAATTCTCAAAATTGTTGGTTTTGAGGTCATATGAAGGTCATTGATAAATCAAAGTGGGGTGTTTTTCGTAACATCAACGGTACACATAACAGTTGTAGATAATTTTTGATAGTGTGCTAATAGTTATGGAGAGTATCAGTGTTGATAATAAACTAACTAAGTAGCCTACAAATTTATTAGTGAACTTTACTGCTATGTATTTATTAATTCACCTAATACGGGAAATAAAAGTCATTTCTTAGCTTGGAAATTGAGAAAAATGAAAGAGGTGAAGTAATATTTCTATACATTGATCCTTCCTTAGCTTGACTTTTATACATCTGTCTATTTCCTTGGAAACACAAGATATCTAAATGACTGCCTAGACATTCTGTTAGTAACATTCACTTCTATGTAGGTAGATCTAGTCAGAGACTTCCGAAAAGAAATGAAAGAGACACTTAGATTCCACTACCAACTAGAAATGTTTATCTAGTTTAAGGAATTAAAAAGCCACTTAGTTTGGCAAAAAAATTACCTTACAATTGTTAACAAGTAAAATAAACACAAAATGAAGTCATTCAACACTACTATTGATGTGTAAATCATTCCATCCGTGATCTGCTTAGTAGGAATGGCTACCCAGACAAGTTTGTAACTAAGCACATGAATATTACGAGGGTTAAGAAAACAATGCCAACAGTTCCTAAGAAGCAAATCTTCTTGAAGCTGCAATTTAAGAGTGACATTGATGGTGAGATCATCACACAACGCATAAAAAGAGTCTTGCATAAAGCATTCCCAACCGCTAAAGTATCTCCCGCCTTCTACAACCGCCCGATTCTAGGTGCAAGAAATAAAGACAAACCGCCTGATTCTGCCACTTCTATGTGCATTCATCAATTCAACTGCTCTTGTGGAGCGAGTTACATTGGGCGTACAATGAGGCAGTTCCATCGTCGAATTTCTGAGCACCACCCATCATGGTTGAACAAGGGACAAATTAGAACTATAAAGAGCTCCATACTTGCACACTTAGTGGTTACTGGAAAACCTTCAAAATTATCCGTCAGATTCTAATTAATTTACCTCATGGATTAAGCACTCAGTTACTTCACATTATATTATTATTATTATTAGTCCTTTGGGTTCCTAATGGAACATAGGGCTTCAGTAGCATGTCTCCAGTGAACTCTCTTCTCTGAAATCTTTTGAACCTGGCTCTACGACAGCCCACAAGCTCTCATTTCCTCCTCGCACGGTCTCCTCTATGTCACCCTCGGTCAGACGCCCAACTTGTCGCTTCCCTTCTAGCTTCCACTCGAGTGCCTGGCCTGGCACATGATGTCCCCAATCGGCCTTCTCAGTGTATACCCAATCCAATCCATCTCCACTTTCTTCCTATGCATATTTGTTGGATGACAGGTTCTTGCTTCGTTGTTTCGTGGCCAGCCACCCAGCTACCCAGCCAGCCAGCCAGCAAGCCAGCCAGAGTTCCTTGTTGCTTATTCTTGTCATTCTGGCCATCTGATCTGATCTTCAGTATCGAGTGAGCGTAGACGGCAGCTATTCATGGATGTCTGTGGTTTGTTGGAAACGCATTTCGTGATGCGCCAAGTTTCGGAACCATCACATAGAAGCACTGACTTGACGGAACTAGTCTTCAAAATCCGGATGTTGTTCACGCTTTATGTTGAGTGCAGTGCAGTGCGGTAGATCTCCACACTGATAACAGATTAGTGAAAGCCTGTCTTGCTTCTCCGATCCTGGTTTTGACATCCTCATCTGTGCCTGTGCCACCTGTAGTTGAAACGACGCTGTCTAGGCAGGCAGATGAAAGAGACTACTTCCTTCAGCTTTCTCCCTTTCATGGTGATTGGTGCTTGTTGTTGATGTTGTTGTTCGTTGGGTATCTTCATCACCTGTGTTTTCTCTACACTTACTTGAAGTTCCGTTTTCGCTGCCTCACCTCTTCTGTCAACTTGTTAGTTTTTGTCTGTAGATCTTCGAGTTTGTGCTACAAGACATTAGAAATAACTCATAATCGGCAGTGAAATCCAAACCTTCTTCTGGTGTCTTTTCATCGGTCCAGCGTATGCCCATCTTGGCGCTCCTCACGGTTCGCTGCATGATCCAGTCAGCCACAATCAGGAAGATGATTGGTGATAGTAGGCAGCCTTGTCTTACTCATGCCTGTCCTAACTGCAAAGGCGTCACTGAGCTTTCCATTATGGATCACTTGGCATGTGGTTGATAAAGATTTATGGCACACCGTAGTGTTGAATCAACTGCTAAATTAATTCTCAGTGGACGCTGTTGAAGGCCTTTCTGAAGTCGGTAAAGTTGGGGTAGATACCCAGTTGACTGTTCATCGATGATACACAGCGTTGCAATTTGATCCGCACATGATTTGTTCTTCCTAATGCCAGCCAGCCAGCCGGCCAGCCTGTTCCGGTCGTAATTCATTTGAATCCTTTAGTCTCTACAGGATGATGCGACATAATATTTTGTTTGGGGTGGACAGCACCACGATTCCTCGCCAGTTCTTGCAAAGGCTTATGTCTTTCTCCTTTAGGATTTTGACAAGGTAGCCCTTCTTCCGATCAATGGGCAGGTACCTTTCCTTCCTTCCCTGCAAACCTTCTGTAGTAGTGGTGTGAGCATGTCCGCTGTTATCTCTGAATCAGTCTTCAGTGCTTCTGGAGGAATTCCGTATGGTCCTGCTGCCTTGCCGGATTTCAGCAGTTTTATGGCGTTCAGGACTTCTGATTTTGTCGGAGGGCTTGTGTTCACTGATAGTTCTGTGGCTGGGCTGCTGGTGGTATTTCTGGACGATTTGCAGGTGGCGATGGTGGTGGTCGATTCAAGAGCTTTTCGAAGTGGTCAGCCCATTGTTTCCTTTCCTTTTCATTTCTCTTTGGTAACTAGCTCTCCTTCACTATCTTTCATTGGTTTCGTCTGCGTTGATCTCTTCCTTCCCAGATAGTAACCTGGTTATTTGATATACTGTTGTCAACTGTCTCCTATCAGCAGCCCATTCTGCTTCACTTGTCAGTGTGTCGTAGAATTGTCGTTTGTCTTTGCGTGCACTCTTCTTCACTTCTTTGTCCAGTGTAGTGTTTAATACATTGTACTCAGTTTTTCTTTTCGTTGTGCATCCTTGCACTGCACTGATTCATCTTCTGCTTCACCATCCTCCTCTCTTCTATCAGCTTCCATGTATCCGTCGAGATCCATTTCTTATCCTGTCTTTGTCTTCTTCCTTCCTAATACGGTTATGCAGGTTTCTTTCCACATAGCTTTCAAAGGGTTCCCGTGTTCATCCACACAAGTTTCTTCAGGGATGTTGCTCAATGTCTTCCATTTCGTTCTGATGGCTGACGTCAAGATGTTCTTTGCGGTTTTTTCCTTCAGTTTCTCGGTGTTGAACTTATATAAAATGTCTGCAGTCTGATGTTAGTTAAAGAAGTTATTAACCAAATATGATTAATAGTGCTAATGATTTTTAAATTAGACAAAGTGACACTTTACTTTTGTGCAGTGAATTTCCACATCAAATATTAGTATTTACGGCTTTAAACTGAATTCATTTTATTTTTTCAGTAATTAGTCACAAGCTGAATACAAAATATTCTCATCAGACACACGGTCAAGCAAACAACATTTAATAAAGTTGACAAATCATAGCCGTAAATGCAGTGAAGGATAATATCCCAGGAAATACATCTCAGCAATGAAAACTGTCACGTTTCAACTTACGAACATGGCAAAACTTTTAGATCAGGCATATTTAGCTAAACTATCCTACGACATTTATAGGTTTTTTGTACTGCATCACTTGTAGATGTATTGGTAGCATAAATCGACTACAAGGCAAACAAATTACTCTACCATATACAGTAAACTCGAGCATGAGATTGACATTTTGTCCTAATTCAGTATCAGAACGTTTAATATATTAAAGTCACAGTTATATTCCACACATTTGTTCGTTCCTTTATAAGACAATATAATAAGACTTCATTCAAAGTACAAATCTTTTTAATTGTGTTCACTCCATGACAACCATAAATATAAGTTTTTTGTGTAACATTAAATTTTTGCCTGCTACTAATCGTAACAAGGTTGAATTTCATGAAATGTAGACTTAAATTGTGGAACACCTTGTTACAGCCACCACATATCACACCTAGAAGTCGATTCCAAGATAAACACAGGTGTAAAACTCAAAGGCCCTTAGTTCGATCTCTAGCGGGATTTCAAGTCCGTACCGCTGAGGAAACCTATACTTTGATGAAATAGCTGTCCAGTGTTCCCAGGTTTCAGTTGTTCTCCAAATGATGTCACTTCACGATAAATGCTACGTTTGATTGAAATTGGTCAACAGAGTAATGAATTTTAATAAGGGAACTTAATTGCATGAGACTGAGTTGAGTAGTATTTTAACTGCGACAGGAAAATGATATCTTATATTACTCCTCCCTCGTACACAAATAAATAATTTGTATCGAAATACCATACTGAGCTTGACAGCATTTCAGTTAAATGAAGGCAAATTAATCATCACTTACTGTTAATATGATGACGTGGCTGCTGTCGTTTTATCTGTAACCATTTAAAAGGTTGTACCGACTTAATACTTGTTGCTGTTGTTGTCGTTGGTGTCATTTTCGTTCTTGTTATTGTTTCCAGTATTGATGCCCCAGGAAGTGATAATTTACCACTGCGAGTTGCATTCAAATTGTTATTACTTTTCAAATGTGATTCTTTGTGCACTTCTCTGGAATTATACTGGTTACTTTTTAGATTTTGATGATGAAAGCTGTCGTAATAATGCTGTTGGTTAATACCTGGCCTTGTTGATGAGGATGTTGTTGCGATTGGATGACTGTTCTCTATCCTTTCTAGTATACTGTGATCTTCTACGTAAAAGTGTCTTCCTTCAGAGGCATCTTGACAATTATTTAATTCGGTGAATTGTCTCACTGTTACTTTCTCGTTTGTTCTGGAAGTGTCCGAATGTTTTTTAAGTGATTCTGATGATCTTATATGTGTTGTTGCAGTTGTTACTGCTGTCGTTAACGGTAGAAGTGTATTTTGTGGAAATATGTGACATTGTGCTATCCTATATGAAGCTGAATATACTTCAGATTCGGTCGACTCTTCTTTCATTGCGCCATTTCTATCATAGTAAAATGGTAGAGATGATAAAATTTGGTTTTGTATGAACCCACCAGCTGTTGGATTAGATGATGTTGTCTCTGTGGAAGTTATATGATATGTACTGTCTGTAATATCTAATAAGTCTTTTGTTTTTTGTAAATCTGCCATTTTTCCGAGATAAAATTGGTGTGTGGAATTATGCTGTTCTAGTAGTTTGGTTACTTCATTCAAACCCAAATGTGATGAATTTGAAGCTTTTACATCAATATTCGACAACGTAGTAGATGTAGGATGTCTAAATAATTCGGAACAGTGAGATGACTGGTGCGGTATATTTGTTCCATGCACAGAAAAATAAGGATACTGTTGACATTCAGGTAGGCAAGTGTTAGGTATTTGAAATGAGCTATCTTCTTGATTCAATGAATCTTTCTGGTCTGCTGTTAACTGAAAGGAGAAATCAGACAGGATAATATCAGTTTTATTGTGTTCTAGTGTTTCGTCAAACTTGTAAAAATCAGGCCTATGATTACTAGTATTCTGACTATTGTTACTTTTCAGAGACGAAATGTGGTTATATGGAGAACTGACATCATTCGATAAAATTGGCAATTCGCTAACTGTAGAACACTGTGACCAGACTGATGGTAATGATGTAGAATTATTTGTAGTGTGGCTTACAGTTGCTGAAGGTGGTGTACATGAACTAACTCTGACCACATCACCAGCTTCTGAAGGTGGAGATGTAGAAGATGATGATAAAGAATAAGTTATATGGTTGTTTATAGTTGATATCATGTTATAGTCAACTTTGTGTTCCAGACGAATTGACTCATTCGTATATGAATGAAGTGAAAATTGCTTATTATCAGTGGATTGAATTGATGAATCATTACCATCACAAATGTTACATTCATTCACGTTGTATGCTTTAGCATTAGTTTGTGTACAGTATGAATCAATGAGGATGGGAAATGCTATGCAAGCACCAGTAGAACAAAGTGATGATGACGATGATGGATTACTAGACGATGATATCAATGAATTATTCAACGAATATTCATAGAATGGATAATGCCAATAACAATTTTCATGGAAACCTGTGTAGTTTTGATTATCAAGGTTACATATTGTATAATCGGCTGTCAAATTCATGATGAAAAAGGTTTTGAATGTACTGTTTCCATCCTATTTCCCTAAGAATAAGTTGTTTATATAAGGAAGATTTTGTCGGCTAAGTAACTAATCGTAATTATGACTTCATTAGTCTGCATTATATTATAGTAAATAAATGGCCCGCTTTTGCATTTTACTCTCCTTAAATTAGCCTTTTAGGAGACAGACATCTACCTCATAAAACATGTGGAAATTTTCCTTACCCCTGAAACATTTCAGTCAAATGAAAAAGAATTTGTCTAGAAGATTTGAAGATAGAAAACTATTAAACTAGTCAAACCGAGGTTTGCTAACGGGTAAATCTGTGTCCACAGGAAGCAAGAAGGATGAGAATTTTGTCAAATGAAATTCAATTGGTCATTATTTTTCTACTAAAGGGAAAAATACGATATTCATACATCCCGTGATGGAAAGACTGAATTTTTTTGTTAAAATTACCACACCAAGTGTAGTGAGGCAGATTACTGTGTCACTGCGCCACTCGTGTATCATCTAACACTGAATGAAGGTATAGCCAGACTTGTTGGACTTCTTTTTTACACTAATCAAATAACAGAGACGAAAAAGTGTTTATTGATGAAATTATATAAGAGCCGTATATCTGATACAGAGTAATGATTGAACGTGAGATGAAAACCTAGGCTCTAGTAATATTCGATGCAGCAGCCTCTGGGTTATCGGCCAGGTGCTCTGTCAGCTGAGCTGCCATACCCAGGTGCTGATCAGGTTATCATTCCACTCCAGTCACTATGTGTTATGCCCGGTTACCGTATGAATCCGTGATATGTAACTGTCCGTTCATTGTTACGACGGAAAGTGTTTACCGAATGTATCGAAGGCTTTTTATCAAACTTGTGGCGTGAATTTGATTAATTTTAAGAGTTACAGAGTTTATTGTCATGAAATTCATACCTATCTATTCTGTAATTCCCGATAGCGGTGACTGATATTTGAAACAATAACAAACAACTAGAAGAAGTGTTCACACAGCACATTATAAACATTCTGATCACACATTTACCTATCAAATCAATTCATATTAAACCGTAGTTTGGGAGTAAAAGAAGACATACAAGCGAACACAATTGTTTTGACATAACTCTCATCAGGCTTTGCTCTAGTACACGTTAATTTTCTTAAATGTCAAACACTAAACTAATCATGGTAAATTCTTTAGTCTGACAGTGAGCATGCTACTGAGCGCGTACTCTCGCGGCTGCAAAGAGAACAGATGAAGTCAAAACGAGGTTAAATTCTCTTGCCCTCGGCCAATAGTAGTCACGGAATAGATAAGACCAAAGCGTTTAAAACCATGTACTGCACTCCCCGAAATCTTTCGAATAGAATTTGTACTCACATAGCTAAGGCTATGAGTATCAGAGAAAACAGCTCTAGTTTTTGTGTGAATAAAGGGTTTACGTGACCATTATCTCTGTCTTGGTCCGAGAAAACTTAATCAATGACTTTAAAGATAAATTCAGTTTTTCATCCCTTTCCTAATTTTTACCCCTTTCATATACGCGTTTTATTTACTTAGACTGATTGTCTACACAGTTCATTATTTAATATTACGCAACTTTACCTTTTCTAAGTTTTGATCTACACTGACTGCTTAAATGTCTGAAGTACACTGCTGTTATTATGCTGCTATTATCTGGATATTTACTGTTTGCATACTTCGTTTTTGTGTTACCACAGACTAAAGAATTCCCCATGATTAGTTTATTGTTTAACATATGAAGACACTTAAGTATATTAGAGTAAAGCCTGGTGGTAGCATATTGAAAACAGTAGAGTTTGTGAATATATCTTCTAATTTTGACATTGAGAATTTTTAACATTCTTAAAAATAGGTAGTGTAGTGTGACCTCTATCTAGTTGTAACCGAATATTGTATTGAAGCATAGTTTATGATATACACTACTAATTCTGGTCTACAGCTACCTTGTATTGTGCTGCTTAAGGGTTCCTGAAATTAACGTGTTAGCATGTAATTTTCTGTTACGAATCTTGAGGTTTATCTCTTTGGCTATGTGCAATATAATGATGTTGAACAGGCGTCGGAGAAATTACAGGTTACCAGTAATAAATTGACAATATAGAGAGGCTCTAATCTCTGTAGTTTATGAATTCCTAGTTCACACCAGTTATAAAGATAGATATCGTTATGGAAAAAATATTAGCTGAAAAACTGGTAGAAAGAACTGGTCAGCTAAATTTGATGAGAGGTTTTTCAACGTTGCCAACTGATCCAATATGGAGATGTGAAGCACTTGATTTCAACTCGGTGTATAAGTGATTACGTAACAACTGAAAGGTCTGACAGTCACGGATCCTACCCTACGCTGGAACATAAATACACAATACTGAAATTGGACATTTGTTCCTCATCAGTCACTTTCAATGATCCTCCTTTTGATTTTATTTCATGAGAAAATGTCATCAAACCAATCGCATCCTTAAAAACTGTTGGATAAAGCAATTCAGCCTCGTTTAATATGTTTAGTTCCTCTTCCAACTATGAAAGTGCATTTTCAGTTTTTGTGAACGATTTATTAGTGAATGCTGGTAGAAATAGATTCAAGAATCACTAAAATGATTCGCCAGATTTTCACTTAATGGTTTTTAGAAATCGACAAATTTTCAATCTCGTCGGTTTACTTTCGAGTGCGAATCATTTTGAAGCCTCAGTTATACACTATGCCAAGGACAGAGTTTTTATCTTTTGAATAAAAACATTCTGGAATCTATCTTATTATGCCAAGGGGATAAGTGAATAAGTGAATGTGGATGGATGATTCGATATGACATACAATTAACTAGTTAAATTCTAAACGAATATAACTGGTTCTAATGATAGCTAACAGTAAATTTTCAAACACTGTATATCATTCTTAAGCTAATGAATGACCTGAATCTATCTTCTATCTGAAATCGATATCACAGCTAAGAATATAACATTTCATGAAGAAGACCCTTAACGTAATCAACTGTGAGGATAGAAAATCATGGATCTGATCTGAAAACATTTACCAGTTTGTTTGTAACATTTGTAACTAGGTATCTTTTTAACCTATCATTATCTCTGTTTATCTGATACCATGGTTTGAATATAACCACCAATAAATTGAACAAATATCTTTAATTTGCTAATCTTGAACACGAAAAATTGTACTTCGAAATGGTTTTTAAACTTACAATCACTGTATGGACATTTAGGCTACACATATGATTCGGAGGTGCTACACATTATTCAGAAAATATTTTTTTTCTAAAACCCCTTTTGTCTATTTAACAATCCACAGTTATTTTAGCCGATGGATAGTTGGATAAAATTTAACTTTTCAACTGACCTCCATCTTACCGGTACTTGTGAGAGAGTTTACAAATAGTATTTAACTGCAAATGTATATATGTTTTACATGCTTGTAATGTGTAATGTGCATATCTTTCATATTTTCCAATAAAAAACAAAACCATGTTTATGTTTCAATAATGAAAAGTGATTGATTTTTTTTGTCTCATAAAAAACGACACAACGCCGGTTGTCTGATAGTAATAGTATGTGTGACATTAATTTTAATCCAATTTCTTTCGCTTCAAATGCATTTAGAAATTAGAAATTAAACCAATAGTTGGTTGGTGAGTTTGCTTGTTCGTTTGTTTGTTTGTATTCAGGATGATGACAGAAGTAAAGATTTAAACCTTAAGGCTTTTTTTTAACTTTAAATAAAACTTAGATTTACTGATGAAAATCTGTTTTAAAGGTTTACAAAAGAGTAGGTTGTGTATAAGTCAGGTTTCTAAACTTAGAATACCTGTGTTTCGCAGTTTTTCAGAATCATTAGGGGGTCTGTTTTCGCACTCACTCTTGGTGATAAGTAGTTGACGATACTGATAATATCCATGTATTGCCTTGAACGTTCGAGTTTTAGCATCAGAATGAAAGTTGGCAAGCTTCTTTATAATGTGGAAGTCGTGAGAACATATGCTATGGTGTTAGTTGACTAGCGGAAATCAGAATAGTCTTCGTGTTTTTATCACTGGTCACCATGGCATATCTGTTATATGAAGGCAACTTATATTCCTTATCAGATTCGAACCTGAGTTGACCCATGCTGTAGTTAAACACGTTGCCATAAAACTATTCGGCCTACTATCGACATATCCCATGAACTTCACCTAGTTGTAAGCAGAGTAAAGCTTTTTAATTATTAATGAACAACTACGAACTTACTCCACCTACTTTACTAATGATTCGTTAAATATTTGGCCTCGTCAGCCTACAGCCTTGCCAAATTTTTGAAATCCTCTTGATTATACAACTCATCAGAAATCATTCTTTGTGGTCTAATCAGTGAAACATTAAAGTTCGTTTCTGTAGTTAATGGTTGACAAAAGCTTGAATAACATCATAAAAGAGTTAAAACGTTCCGTCATAGTTTGGCACTTAATTCAATTAATCATTAAATAAAGCTTCCATGAAAAATATGATTTGCTAGAGGTTCGTCAAATGAAGAAATTTATCTGCTCTACCAATGACAACTATTTAGTTAATCAGTTAGTTAGTTAGTTAGTTGGTATCTTTGAATC